AAAGGTAATTGTGACCACTTTTTATATGCCGTAAATACAATTACTACCATCACCATAATTTACGGCACTAGTCTTTATACGTGATGATGATGGTTGTTGTTGTTGTTGTTGTTGTTGCTGGAGTTGCTGTTGCTGGAGTTATTGTAATTGTTGCTGTAATTGTTGTTGCTGTTGTTGCTGTTGATTTTGATTTATATTGGTTATATTAACGCCCACAAGCTGTCTCACAGGTATTAATGGGAGACGGCTAGTAGAGGGGTGTTGGTGGAACGAGGGCGGAGAGTTCGGGTAGAAGGTTGTTGTTGTTGTTGTTGTTGTTGCTGTATTATTATATTCATTTTACTTTTGTGAATAATTATATAAATGACGGAATGAGCCAAAAAAATTGAAGAATTAATAAAAGATTTAAATTTAAATAAGTTATTAAAAAAAACTGATAGCAAATGGTATTTTAAAAAATTATAATGATGATGATAAAGAAATTTCCAGGTTTTTTAAAAAAATTTATAATGATGATGATAAAGAAGTTTGCAGGTTATAATTAACTGATAGCAAATAGTATTTTCAAAAATTTATAATGATGATAAAGAAATTTGCAGGCTTTAAATATTAAATTTGAATTTAAAAATAGATTTAAGCACATAATACTTTAAAAAAATTCCTGAAAATTACCTGAAAAAATATTTTTTCCTTTGCAACTGTATGCAAGATGAAGAATCTTCTAACATCTTTTCACCATCTAGGTTGGAGATCATCAACAATCAATTCTACCCGTTTGATGAGAGTGAATTTACTTATTATCTTTTAGCATTGAATAAAAAAAGTAGAATTCAAGTTATTTGATAAACTGGAAAAACTCTTTAAAATAATTATTCCAAGTTTTAAATCTTTCTCTTACTCATACTTACAAGGGAATCTTCTGCATTGTTTTTGATTTTCTTTTTTTTTTGAAAAATAAGATGAAAAAGTTTTTTCTCGCCGTTGGTTTTTTTAGAGAAAAAAATTTGTGGGAAAATATATAAATGTTTTTATAACTACTTGAGAAAATTCACCGTATATTTATATTAAAATTCTATTAACAATGACGCAATATTAATATATTAAAAAGAAATAAATTAGTCAACATAATCATTAAAAATAATTACGTCAATTAGATGATCGCGATAAAGATTTATCTCCAAATCAATATTAAAAAAAATTTTTTTTTTTTTGATGAATTAAATAAATATAAGCAATAAAATTTATTTCCGAATCGTACCAAAAAAAAAAGTTTTTTAGATGATTTATTATATTTTTAATAATAATAACAAATAAATATAGGCAATAAAAATTTATCTCCAAATCCGAATTGATATGAAGAAAAGAAAAAAAGTTTTAGATGATGATTACACGCTTTTTATTGTATTTTTAATAACAACAACTTTCTATTTATTACATAAATATTTGAGTTTATCTCCAAATTATTGGGTCTTTGTTTTACAAAATAATTACCTCGATTAGATGACTCATAAGGCAATAGTAGAAACCATTACAATGAAATCTCCAGTAAATAAAATTTTGAAATTTTTGACAAAAAATATTTCATTAATCAAAAACCTTACACTAAACGTTATCTTTAAAAAAAGAACGTTTCTAATAAAATCACGAAATAATACTTAAATTCTTTTTACTATTATACAAATAAAGCTCTCACCTCTACATACATATTATTAAATATTCTAATTTTAATTAAATAACATTGACGGTATTGAAAACTCTCAATAACAAAACTTCCCTGCCTTTGAAGATACTACTTGTTAATGACAAAAATTTTTCAAGTTGACTTACAAAAGTACGTCCTACTGCTCCAAACACTAATAATATGATCTCAACATGGACATTAGAATACTGACTTTTTATTTAATTATATCGGCTCTGTTTTTTTATAACACTGGTTTTACTACCTACTAAAAGTGGTTGTGACATTCGAACTGATACAACAACTAATCAAATCAAAAAAGTATCACAATAATTACCGTCACCGTTATTTAAAGGATCTAAAGATTTTGATAATATAAATTCAATAATTCATTAACTGCTTTATCAGCTTCTCCTGATCAAACCCGTACTATTGTCATTCTAAATTAACAAATTCAATTTTCCTCGAAAACTTGGTAATAAATTTATATAATGTTGGAAACTTCGAATCATAGATAATGAAATCTCAAAAGAATTAAAAATTAGGGTTGAAAATAGATTTAATAGTAATGATGTTAAATGGTTAGTGTTATATTTTTATAAGAAAAAGTACGCGGGAGGGAGTGTGTATGCGTGTTTATGGCAATTGATTATTTTTTACCATTTGATTGATCACATGAAATTTATGTACTCTAGTTACAAAATAGCCACTGCTGCTTCAAATGGTATTTGGGATATAGAAAATGGCAGATCAAGGATTGATAAGAAGTTTCTTTTATTATAAGTTTATGTGTGTGTGTGTATGTATTTACTTTGTCAAAAATCTATCCTTTACAGATCAAAAATCGATGAATATACACGTGCTGTTAATAGAATATGTTTTAGTCCACAAGAAGATTAAAATAACAGATCCTTACGAGTTTACAAAAAAGTTAAAATCCAATATTGACGGTAAATTTGACAGGTCGAAACGTAAATATTTATTATCTGGAGCAAACTTATAATAATTACATAACAAAGCGGCTAATTTTAGTACCTGATACCCATGGTGGAAGAGTAAATCTAAAGAACGAAAAAGATAAATTATTTAAACATTTGCTCAAGAAGCATACCTAATAAGAGTGACATAGGAGAAAATATCTGTGAATTTAAAGAAAGCAATTGTAGTGGATGATAGAGTTAAATTTTGCGTTTTGTGGGCTCTTGAAGCACATGACCCGTCCAAATAGAAAATTTTGACAATTCAATGCCTACCATTCAAGGCTGGGTGATGAAAGTTTAAAACTTTTTTTTTTGATCAAATATCACGTGCTTAATTGGATACTTACTTTTGTACATAAAGTTTTAGTAGGAATTGTTGCTTCTTTTCATTTATTATTGGTTTTGCAACTTTTTCCAGAATCTGTAGAATCATGTGATGATTGTTGAAAAGCTTTTCGTTGAAAATAAATCTTCATTGAACTAATTCTAATGTACCGCAATCTGAATTATTATTATCATCATTATTTTACGATTTCCCAATTCCATATTCTTGTTCATTTTATCATTGTCTTTCAAAAAAATTATTTTCTAAATCCATAATATCATGAATTTCTAAATCCTTTATCCTATCATTGTTATCATCATCATTATTATCATGATCACTGTTATCACTATGATTATCACTTTCATCATCCAAATTAACTTTTCTTCAACAAATATACTCTTTGAATCCTTTTCTGATAAAGAATGTATTAATTATTAGAAAAAAGAATGAATTTTTGCAGAATTAATATTTAGATTTTGGTGATTTCTTCCATAAAGTCACCCTAAATATGAAAAAATGCGTTCGCATTCACCACTATGTGGAATAATTTAATTGCTGACTGTAAGAAAGTAGACTATCATATGTTGCATTTTAAGGTTTTGTTGTAATCTATATTTCCGCAATTGAAAAAGTAATTCTGTACAGGGTTTTTTTGATTTTTGCATTGATTTCCAATAGGTTGCTGCAATTTCTGAAACATACTTTGTAGCCTGGATGCAAGGATGATGATTTTCTGCTTTAAGCAGAAAATCGCTGAAATCGCTGAAGTATGTATCAAAAGCAGAAATGTTAAGTGTTGAATGTCTTTCTATTTTTTCACGTATATGGCAATGTAACATAATCTACGTTTTAAATCATATGATTAGGCTGTTATTAAAAATATTTCGTTTTTCATCAAATTGTTCATAATGACCGAATCTATTAGCTTTATAGAAATTGGTTATGGCTTCTATTTGAATAAAACGAATAATATGCACAACCCGATCAAAAAAAATTTCTTTGTCAGCTATTTTTTCTTCGTAGTCTTAATAATAGTTGCAGTTCTCGATTTAGCATGCCTCGATTTAACGGATGCTAAAGATATTGATTTGATAGACTGGGCCCCAAAACAATTTAATCATAACAAACAACAACAACAACAATAATAATAATAGTAAAATTCTTCTTGACATTGTTATAACAGATTTTTGAAAAAAAAATTTTTTCAAATTGCCTAAAACCGAGATCTACTATGTAATTGAGATTTTTCCCTTATAGCAATAGTGATAGATATATTATTTCTTTCTATTAGCAATTCAATAAGAATTATTTGTTTGATTTTTTTTTTGTTAACTGCTTTTAGCTATTTTTGATTAATTAAATTTTTTTTTGATTAAATAAAATAAGATTCTATAGCAGAATTAAGTAGAATTAGGGAACATAGCGGGTATTCAATTTTAAGAAATGATCGGCATTAGTTACACCCACATATATTTTATATACAGACTGACCCGTCATCTGACTTTAACTCAATTGCGGGCCACCAAA